AAAAATTGAAAATTATTTTATTTTTTCAAACACTAATTTTAAAACTCAACTTTTATCAAATGTTTGGGTGGAAACAGTTATGTTTCTCTCTGTAATGTCAAAAGAAGGTGACATGAAAATATCATGAGATGATGTGATTTATCCCTATATGAACATGACTGACTTACATCCAAACAGTCTGAATACATTAACATGACCATGATGTGAAATCCAATTTCATTTGTTCGTCTGATGCCTTGCCTATAAAAACAAAACAAAAACAAGTTGTTGTTGTTCACCATCAGAAATCAGAAACATCCACTGAGACCAAACCATCCACAGCACATCCACTGCGGGACCAAGAACACAACTGAGCAGTTGTATCATGATTGAGAGTGACAGAGAGCTGTCGGCCATGGTGCAGGAGCTATGGGACAATGACGTCAACAGACTCAAACCTGGAAAAGACTACAGGATCTCTCTGCAGGTGCAGTTGCAATTCACCTGTTGCCTACATGTCTGACCTTTTCTGACATCTGAGCTAGCCTCTAAACACATAAACAATTATTCACTTTTCTATGTGTAATGTTACAACCTCTTTACATGTTTGTGTTTCATCTTGAAGCAACTTTTATCACATGTAAAATCAATAAATATTTATTAATATTCATCTTACAACATTAATGCAATGCCTGCAAATAATCACGACAGATACAGGCCTCCTCACTTTATTGTATGTTGTGTATTTATGATTAAATCTGTCAGGTTGCTTGAAGGAAGTTTAGAGATGTGCTGAAAAGGTAAAGAGCATCTTAAGTGGCAGGATACAATGCAGTTCATGGAATCTTAATGTCACCTAAGATTAGGTAGCACGATGCTGTTGCTAGTTCTTAGAAAACATGTGGATTTCCTCACATGGCTTTGTGAAGTCTAATATGCAAATGTAGCTGTGACTGAGAGCAAAATGTATCACTGGAAGCTTTGTTGAACAGCATATAATGATTTCACAAGAAAGCCTGCATAAACCTTCCAAACAAGTCAGATTTTAATATTTGGCTGTTTCTCCTCCTGATTGCAGGGCAAAGCTGGAGACAGTATGGCCATCAATGACAACAACGACGGAGCAGGATATCCTCTGTTTACATTTGTCAATGAGAACATATTCAAAAAGGAGACTTTTTTAGGTAAGTTCACGAGTCGGGAGACACACGATGAGGAACACTGAGTTGCTTCTGAGCAAAAAGTGCAGTCACCATCATTTGACTCAAGTCTTATTCAAGCTTTAATGTTCAGCGGTTTTTACTTGATGCAGCCTCGACCTTGATTTTTCTGGATTTGACCCCAGACTGTCACTGCCTCTTACACAACCGCACCATCAATAATGTTTGAATTGACGTGATCTCTTCACGCGTTCCGCTTTGCCAGTTTGATGCTATCCTCCTTGTCACCTCCCTACAGAGTACAGCTTTTCCATCTAATCTCCTTATGACGAACAGTGGCGTGTTGCATAATCATAGAGCACGCAGAGTGCTGGATGCAGAAAGATGCTGCTCTCCAACCACTGGCTTCTCCTTCAAGTCCTCCTCCGCTTGATAACTGCTGAAGCGCACTTCCTTTTTAGCAGTTTTTGTCTAGTGATATTTTCGCAGGTTTACGTTGTGTTACAGAGACAGAGGCGCCTTTGAACAGAGCTGTATAGGGAGCTGAGTTATGTAACAGCTGCTATTCAACTCTGAGTTCACTCTAAGGCTGCTGTCCCATTGAAAAAAAAAAGGAAGAAGAAAAGCAGGATTCCTCCCTCTGTGCTGTATCTGATACTATTTCTGTCTCAAAATTAACAGTCTGCTGAGCTGGAGGATTCTGTTTTCAGCTTTGCTTCACTGTATTTATACTGTAGCTGCCATCATCTCTGTGTTACTTGCCTCACACGTTGCGTAATATGTTGTCCCACACACTGAACAAAATCACCTTTTGAAGAGTGTCCGCGTTTGTTTCTGCAGCCTTTATCTCCCTGCTGGATAACTATGAGAGTGACACTGGCGAGCCAGAAATTGTGACCCCTGAGGAGGTGGCAGAGAACCACAAGTTCCTGGACTCCATCATGCAGACACCCACTATGAAGGTACCTGTGGGGACACTTGGAAAGAAACATTTCCCATCTTGCCGTGCTTCAATAAGTCCCTTTTTTTCTACAAAATAATTAATGACCACTATCTAACAGTTGTTGAAATGTTCATATAATACACTCAAAATGACTCTCTGAGTAATGAAATAATCACTTTTATTAGTCATATTGTATGCTAGACTGGGTCTGGTCCAACGTTATGTTCTACATAATGTTTTTTGGTGTAAATCCAAAAATGTCTGTTTTTCACAGATACCAAAGCAGTTTTTCTTCCTCCAGTTTGTAAGCAAATGAGTACAGTACTAACACACTGACGTTAAGCAGTTATGCTGGTTGTCATGCTGTAGTTTAGTACTAACATTTGCTACAAAGTAAAGGTGAAGCTGAAGAAGATGTCTTGAGTTTTTTTTTATGTGTTCACACAGGAACCAAACTACAAAATTACTACTTCAAATTAAAAACCTGACCATGAAAATGATGCTCGATGAAAAGTTAAAGAATTGTCAGTAATATTTGTTTATAGAGAACGATGAATGTCTGTACAAAATTCCCTTCAGCTCATTGTACAGATGTACATATAATCAGGATTTATCCTCTGGAGATCATGAATGTCTGAATTTGTGTTTATTCATTGCTGGGTTTTATTTGTTCTCCATGCTATAAATTTCCTAATTTTTCTTTATTTTATGCTATATTGTTTTATCAGAATTTTCCTGGTTTAAAGCACCTTATAACTTTGTTTCAGTCAAGACAAAATTTACAGACTTTCCTAACGCGACCACAGATATCAACATTTTATTGGAAAAATCTTGTTTGTTTTCAGATTGCTCATAAATACTTAGTAGAGAAGCACCTTTCTCCCAAGGATGAGACGCAATTCAAGGAGCAGCTGTACAGGATCTGGTTTGAACTTTATGCGAGGAGAGGATCCAGCAGGTGGGTGGAATCTGGCACAGCACCTAAATATAAACTTCACCAGTGGAATTTAGCAATATGATGTTAACTGTCTTACTCTGAGAAACTGGCTTTGTGTCACACATCCAGTCAGAATGGCTGTGAGGAGAACTTGTCCAGACCGAAAATGCTTATTTAGACCGTACTCAATCTGGAAGCAGCCACTAACGATGTCCTAATCCACCTCATATAATACTGAATCCTAAAATTCAGGTTATATGAAGTGTTGGTGTTACCATGAGCTGAGAAAATTACATTTTATTAAAAATATACAGTAACTCTACTTGCAATGGTAGCAAGAGAGTACGCACTTTTACATATAATAACAGACAACATCCTGGAACTAGCATGTTCTACTTCCTTTTTTCCTCCAGGCCAGACTCTTCAGGGTTTGAACACGTGTTTGTTGGGGAAACCAGAGGAGGACGGACTGTCATTGGTTTTCACAACTGGATCCAGCTCTACCTGCAGGAGAAGCTGGGACACATTGATTACAAAGGCTACAGTGTTAATGCAAACTCACCTCAGGTACGATGTTGTGTTTCTGGAATCAGCAAAGATAGATAGAAAGATATAAAAACCAGACTAAGAAAATGATTTTTTTAAAGTAATAATCGATATTGAATAGACTAAAATACATAAATAAGTGAAGAAATAAGGAAATCAATGCATAACATTTGTTCAAAGAGCCGCAATAAATAAATAGAATCCATCAAATTCATTAAAATGCTGTAAATCAAGGTAGGTGATGAGTTTGCTTTTAAAAACATCAACACTCTCTGCTGCCCTCGGCTCTTCTGGAAGGCTGTTTCAGAGTTGTAGGCCATCATAACAAAAGACCTGGTAGTGGCTTCACATTAGCACAGTAAGTACATTAGTTTCCTGAGAATAAAACTATGTGTATTTGCTTACATTTTCTAGTTAATCAATTGATTAACTGTGTATCTTTCAACAGAAAACCTTTAAACACGTCCATCTATATCTGAACAATCTCTCATCTGTTTCCCTTCCTTTTTCTCATACTCTATATGCCCCATGTTGACTTGCATTCTTTGTAGTCTTGCCCTCGTCTCTTGCACCCTTCATATTTCTTGCACACTGATGAAAAACCTCACATCCTGCTACGACCAAGTTTGCATTTGCACCTCTTGCTCAGCAGCTTTCTGCATGTGCCTCAACAAAACGCAATGGACTGAACCTTCTTCTATTACAGTTACCTGGTGTTGCTTTCTTACTTTTAGGCTTCTTGTTGGTTCCCTGAAACAGAATAAAAGTAATCTTTTGTGTTTATTTCTTAGGTCTAATTTGTTGTATCGATGTCACCTCTTGCTGATCCTGATTTTCTGTTTTTTCCCCCCTCTTTGTAAAGGCTGATTTGTTTGTTTCAATCACACATATTTCTCTCTAGTTTCCGTCCTGTCTCTTCTTCTCATACTGATGAGAATATGCCTACAGCTGTTTGTTTGAAAAAAACCAAAACAAACTTGCTTCACCATCCCTCACCACCCTCTTCTTTTCTCTTTCATCTCTTTCCATTCCTTTTTTCCCTCCGTCACTCTAGCCTGACGAGAACAAACACATCCTGGCGCTACAGTTCAGCTGGAAGAACGGTATAAAGCCTAAGGGCAGCATCTTCATCGGAGTCAGTCCCGAGTTCGAGTTTGCACTCTACACTCTCTGTTTCCTCAATTCGCCTAATGAGCGTGTCAAAGTCCAGTTCAGTTTCTACGACGTGGAGATTGTTTGCCACCACTACAACCAAAAGCACATAGGCACCACCTACCCTGTGCTCCTCAGGTACCAGAAACCTCAGTAACTTGACCAGGAAATCAAACTGAGATGTAACCTCTCCCACAAAGAAGCTTGCATTCAAAGTTTCACAGGAATTGTTATTGTCTTTTTATTTTAGATAAAGATACAATAAAACCTTTCCCAGACCCTGATGTATTTGTCTTTGTTTGAGAATGTGCTTAAGATGAAAGATAATTACTGATGCTCATGGATCACTCGGAAACACGTATGATGATTGTGGCCACAGATGTCTGAAAATGTCTACTGATCTTAGTTTTCCAACAAGCCTAATTAAGTTGTCATTTTCATACACAATCCTCTCATCTGCCTGCACAATTACTTCTTTATGTCAGATCCTACCCTAAAAGCAAGATACATATTAGTATTTACATGCTCCATGTGAGATTCTGTGACATAATTGGTAGTATGTGATATTAGTCTTCGATGTAATCACAACTGTCTAACCTGTGATTCAGGGGTGTCTTAGAGGCTCTCAGGTAACATTCAGTAGATTGAATCACTAGATGTCACTAGAACACCAGCATTTCCAACCAAAATTAACGGGCATGTCAACGCTACCGTCCCTCTCCATTCACTGTCTCTTTAAAAAAGACTCATACACAGCTACAATCAGAGAAAGAGAATCAAAATAGAGCCTCAAAACAGCAGTAGAGACTTTCACACTGAGCTGAAATTTTTCATAAAAGGTGTACGTAATTTAGGCTAAAAGACAACCTAAATACTTAATTTGGAAATTTGTTGGGTCTTTAGGGAAACTGTTGAATGCTGGACAGCACTTTTGCTTTTTCAGCGTGGTGCGGAAGGTTGCTCTCTGTTCAAAAGCGTGAGATGGACCGACAGTTTCAAAAGGAGGGACTCACATACACTCATATGCACACACAGCCAGAAAATGTGAGTTCACTCACTGCTAAGAACGCAATCACTCTACTATAGCTTTACATAGCAGATATATGTCTGCTGCTGTATATAGTAATGCAATGCTATATCTATGTTCAAAATCTTGCATAAAGATAATTAAAGGTCCCATATTGTGCCCCGTTTTTAAATCAAATCAATGAAAGTGTTTGTTTGTGTTCAGAATGTATTTTCAATTTTTTTTAGCTCAAAATACTGCAAAGATGGTTTATGTTACCATAATCATATAATCCCCGGTTTTAGCCCTGTTCTAAATGATCTGTTTCAGTGTCTGTAGCTCTGAAAGCAGCTGAGCTGCTGCTGTTGATGCCCCCTTCCAGAAGAAAGCGCTCACTTAGTCTGTGATTAATAGCAGGAACAAAACAGTTGAGTTGCTAGAAGTATTGTTTAAATTCACAACACATCCATTGTGCGTCATCTCTATGGTGCGTACGTTTTTCAGACTCTTTTGTGGGAATACATGAAGACTCTTGTGTTCACTCTTGCAGCCAACAGGAGGATTGAATGGCAGAAGTAAATGTCTTTACACTGTAACACTTTTCATCTCTAAGTTTATAACAACCACAGAACACAATTTCCACCATATGTGGCCTTTAGTGCTTTGGCTCAGAAGTGTATTGTCCATATCAAATTACATGCATGTCACACAGTACTTCACATTATCTTTTTGATGATTAAAAACAAATTTTTTATCAGCTATTTTAATTTTCTTGGCTAATGCTGTGAAACACTTTAGCAGCTATTAATAGCTGCTTCACTTTGTCTCAAAAGGGGGCGGTAGGGGGTTTGTTGTGACCAATGACGTCAATCGCTTGACGAGCTGAACCTGCGTAAAGTTAGCAACAATCACCCTCTATGGCATGGACATGGTTGCTTTAAATTTTAGAACGACAGCATCTGAAGTTAACTTATTTGTAACACAGAGGCCATGTCTTCATGTGAAACACGTGGCTGAATACAAACACGGATGACAATGTCGAACAAATACTCACTCCTATAAATAATACTTACTATAAATAATTACTTACAATAGCACTTCCCATTAATCCTCATTTTGGACTTTATTTTGAAATGCTAACAGGAAGCGATGTGTAATTTTCCGTACATTGCTGTACCTTGTCAGTAGTGTCAGCGCAGAGCAGAGAAGTGGGTTTCCATTGTGGCGAGGATTTAGTTTACACTTTGTACTGTTATATAATTTCGTCTTTGTTGGGTGTCTTTGGCGGCGTGTTCTTCTCTCGGTTGTTAATTACTCGCCGTTCATCCCGGAATGGCCGAACCGAGCGCCAGATATCAGCAGGTATGAGACAACTCTTTCAACGCGTTGAAGATTTAATGTTCGTTAACGGCAGCTGTGCCACACTGCAACAAGCCTGAAGTCGTCCAGGTGTGTCGTTTCCTGTCACCCTTTTCAACACGACGTTTCCCTTCCAAACGAAGATGGAGCTGGCTGTCGTGTTTTGATCTAAATCGATTTCTTTGCGACAAGTCTTATTGCAAAGCTGGCTGTTAAAGCAGAGGCTATCTCGCTAACGTGTCGCTAACGTTCACTGGTTAGCTTCTTAGCGTTAGCGCTAATCATGAACGCTGACTGTCAGTACGGAAGCAATGTCTGTAATTTTCTTCTCGTTATTTCATTATGGTATGAAAGCTTGTTGGATAACAGTGTGCCAGCTAGTCAGCATTATGTGCTATGAAACGTCAAACGTTGAGCTACGACTTCAACGCTTTTCGACGGCCGTCAGTGTATGCTAACGTTAAAGTTTGAGCATCACATGAGCCGCAGCAGTGGGTGTGTTCACTGGTCCTCTATCTAAATCCTCCTGCTAACCTGCTTAGCTAGACGTTATTAGGCCAGACAGTGCTTATATGTCTGCTCATGTGGTGAACTGCAGTAATAATTACTGTGCAGACTGCTATGGTAGAAAACCCTTTATATTCTGTTACTGACTAGAACCGTGTCTGTCAGTGGAGGCAGTGTTTACTATGACTTGTATTTAGGGGAACCGCAGATGATTGACCTTTCCTTACTCCAAGTTAATCACTGTGTTTCATGTGGTCTCTATAAATGAGCTTTGCAACACAGACATACACAGTCACAACAGTGTTCAGGAGGGAGGCATGTTTTCTGTAAATAACCAGCACAATACCTGTGTTGACATAGTCCTGTTATCATCATAATACGTGATGACTTCACTACTGGAAACTTTATTGTCTATGTATCTTTCAACATGTCTGTACACTAACTTAAGATTTTTGCATATTCAGGGGAGAAGGTTACAGTTGTTCCCATTTCCCCTGTAATGCTATGAATTTTGTGATGGGATATCAGTTACATTCTAGGAAATAGTAGTAAACTATGCATCCTGTAAAGGAGCTCTATGTGAGTATTTTATTGAGAAAGTTAAGTCACTGCTAAGCAGCTAGTCCTGGCCTATCCCATCTCATGTTTCCCTACCTTCAGGCTGGCCAGGTTGCAATTGAGGCAGGTTTTAATGTTTTTCAGCTGACTTTCCAGTGAGTCTCTTGTCTGGCAGATAGATTGGAACTCAGTGGTCTTGGACTGCAGTTGGCAGAAGTAGTCCTTGTTCTGGTTTTAAGTAATGCTCTAAATGGGCCACTTTACCCAGAACCTGCAACAGGAGAGATACTACACCAAGCCAGCAAAACTGTACACCAAGGGCTCCATAATGACCGCCTGTGATGAGATGAGTTGCCAACTGCAGTCTGAGGCTGTTGAGCTGGAATCCGGCTGCGGGATAAGATACTCACAGGACACTCTACAAAATGGTGTAAACAACGTGGCAGCCCTTTACACCATTTGGCAGATTCTCCTGTGATTTTTTTGACCTGGCCAGCCTGCGACTAGGGAAACACGACATGGGACAGGCCATGGCTGGATGATTATTAGTGACTGAGCTTTCGAAACAAAATGTTTACATATTGCACTTTTTAAAGTCCTATAGTTTTCTGTTATTTCCAAGAGCATAACTGATATCGAACCAAAAATGTATCGAATCCCATTACAGGGGAAATGAGGCCAGTGGTAACTGGGTCACTGTGCACATGCAAAGTTGCGAGTTTAAATTTGTGTATAGGCATAAATATGGGCTTAAGGTTTATTGATACCGAAGAGGAAAGAAAGATGTTGTTAGCCTGTAATTTATACCTCTGCAAACCTCGTGTTGCAGACTTTCTATTTGCTATTCAGTGCCATTTTTCTTCTTTTTGCTGGAACCTGAGACTTCCAACTGCAATTTCGTTATGTGTATGGAAGCGTATGCATAATGACAATAAAAAGGATTCTGATTCTGATACCACCTGATTTGCCTTTCCTAGAAACTGACAGTGGTGTTAATTAAACAAATGTGAAAAGCAAACAAATTAAACAAAAGTGCTTCGTTTCAAAGTTTTGTTTCGCTGAATTGAGAGCAAAAATGTGACTTGTTCTGTGGCATAAATGACAGAAAAAACTGTGACTAGGGTGTTTTGTCATTAATTGACACTCTCACTGTTTCCTGCTTTTTAATGAGAAACAAAAAAAAAAGAGAAATGAGGAACACATTGTGGTTTGTGCTCATTTCCTTCACAGCAAATTACACTGTATGTGCTTGATAAAACTTTTTACTGTGGGACCAGTTTCTTTACCTAAAGGCATTTATTCCAAATGGAGGGCAGCGAGTACCGACACATATGCATGGCAGCCTTAACCATGAAGTTGTTTATCTCCCTCCCATAGCTTCCCAATGAGGAGGACGCAGAAGAGAATCCACAGGTAGCAGCTGATGCGCCACCACCATACAGCAGCATCGCAGCAGACAATGCTGGTAAACTACAAATTATTCAGATGCTTCCATGAGGTCATTTGTAGTGGGGGCATTTTGACAAATTCTATATGTGTTAGTCTGCACAAGGGGACTAATGAATAATAAATGTCAGTCAACTTACCACAGAAGCATTATTTTTAATATCTTCATATCCCAGTTTGTAGCTGCAACATTCTAAATAACTAGCCAGGTAAATGCAACTCATAGGCCTGTAGACAATGCTTCGTTTTTATGTAAAATGTGTTTGTATCTTGAACCACATAATTATTTTTAATTAGGTTAAACTGGTGAACACATGTGGCATTCACCCCTTTACTGTTTCCGTTTAGACACAGCTTGCAGTGACTAAGCTCTTCAAAGGTTTATTTGAATATTTCCGAACACATGTTGAAAAAAATGGCTTTAGTTTTGTTTGAAAATGAAAACATTATGTACATAGTTCCTTGCCATCTGTTTGCCAAATGAAATAGGATGTGATATTAGACTTCTTGCTTTGTGTTTGAAACTTTGCATTTTCATTTTTAGCTTACTTTGACTACAAGGAGGACGGGGTTTTCCCTAAGCCTCCATCATACAACGTAGCAACTACGCTACCTTCCTATGATGAAGCTGAACGAACCAAGGCGGAGACTACTGTTCCCCTGGTAACTGGAAGAGTGAGTATCTCTCTTTTTTTTTTTTTTCTTCCTGTGGTGACATTCACTACATATACTGTCTTTTGCACACATACAGAAATTGTAGCTCGTGCTCAAACACGTTCTGCATTGTCTGCAAGGCAGGAAGCTTTTATCGCACTGCAATGGAAATTTTTTTTGTGGTCTCTATATATCTGATTGTGTCTCTTTGTCCTTCATACATAAATTGCTGCCTCCCTTTGTTACTGGTTTGAAAAATGTCAGATTTATAAAAAAAAATTAAAAGAACATTTATTATTTTTGCAAATGTGACCACAGTCAGTATCTCCCTTGTGCTCACATTGGCCAGCTTTTTTCAGATCTACTCTCTGTGAACTGGGTTTCTTTGCACAAAATTTTGAGTAAATATAGCCACAACATGATGTACGTAAACCTAGCCACATAAGCTAATGTTTCCAAAATGTTTTGGTTGGTTAGCTGTTTTTACTGCTCCTTAAAAAGCCCCACCACCTTAGAACATGTTTTTTCTGGTCAGCTGAGATGTGGATTGAAATTGTACAATTTTAAAATGTTAGGCAGACAGGCTGAAAATTGTGATATTATGATGTTGATTTGGATTAGCCTTTTGACTATACTTCCAAAAAGCTATGGGTGTTGCAGTTTCTCTTGGCTGCAACTCCATGTGACTAGTGTTACTACTTTGGTCATAGCACCTTTTAAAAAAAATGCTTGATGTACATTTATTTGATGTAAAATCTGACATATTAGAAGTTGCTGAAGATTTATTGACATGGTTGTGCAGGAAAACATTTGTGTACTTCTATTACCATTTAGGTGTGGTTGTCCTCGTATTTACACAAATCAAAGCACATGTCAGCTCCTACACTGTGCCAATAAGGCCAAGAAGCAATAGTAACTAAAGGACTCCAGAAACTCAGCCTTCTGTGTGCAGAGTTAGTACAAGTAGCTCATACACCAAAGCCACCCTTTTGTCTGTCAACAGGAAGGCACACATATTTGGCAGCGGACTTATTATAGAATTGAAATTGACAGCGAAACAAAAGCATCTAGCCAACTGAGAAATGACAGCTCATGCCAGACCTCTAGTGGTCACTGTGATGCATTGCTCCTTACTGCATGTGGGGCCACCCTGTTTGATTGCTGGTATTGTGTTTCTCTGCCACACATTGCCTTGCGCTCAGCAGCAGCCTCAGCACAGGGAACGCCTGGAGACTTTTGACGATGTAATTCGCAGTTCGCTGGAGGTAACTTGGAGGAGTGTATGATGAGAGGAAGTGAACTTGGTCCTAGTTTGGTGTGTGAAAACGAAATGTACCTGCAGTGTGTATGTAGTCAGTGCCCCACCCTTCTTGTATGTTTGTGTATTTAGAGTGCTAGAAAAGCTTTTAGTTGAAAGTTATTCAAGATCTTCTGGATCTGCAGATGTCCGACATTGAATCTGACAGACGCCAGACTTTCGGGTAAAGTCACAATGATAGTGATTAAATGGGCTTGCTGTGTTGTGATGTTTTCATTTGTCTGTTGGTTGTTTACGTTGTATTTACCTCTCTGTTGTCAGCAAAGCTTTGTGTCCATTAGCAGGTTCTAGCCCAGAGTGAAATACAATTCACTTTGATCACAGGCAATACATTAAAATAAACCAGTGTCAACAAGTTGAAAACAGATTGATTTAATCAATATATTGGTTGGAAATAGTCTCACATTAATAAAGAAAAGCTCTGGGAAGCTCTGCTACTGTCTGGCTTTGCTGTGATCAACTTGTTTCTGTGATTAAGCTCACTCTTTTTTACTCTTTTACTTATTCTGTCACAGGATGACGACTTCGTGACCAGAGACGACTTTGAAGATGCCGATCAGCTGAGGATAGGAAACGATGGCATCTTCATGCTCACTTTCTTCAGTTAGTTGCCCAATCACACACCTTTGTTTTTCTGTTTTCACATCTTACCCCCAAATTTTTTTCTTATCAGCTCTTCTTTTTTCTAACTTTGTGCAGAGATGACATCTTACTAAGTTCAAGTTGCTAAAAAATTACTTTCCTATAAAATTTTATGATTGTTAGTATTTCTGATGACATGCCTACCGCTTGCTCTCTTTTTCCTCCACACATCTGTGTGCAGTGGCATTCCTGTTCAACTGGATCGGTTTCTTCCTGTCTTTCTGTCTGACCACCTCGGCAGCCGGACGATACGGGGCCATCTCAGGCTTTGGACTCTCCCTCATCAAATGGATCCTCATAGTCAGGGTACAAGACACAGACATTACACAGCACACATACAAACACATAAAATGTGGTTTTATGTACGCACAAACAAATCAAAAGCCCCAAACACCACTGTGGTATTTTAATGTCGCCTCTGTAGTGGTTGGCGTGTTGGCACCGAACTATTTCCTCAAAGATTTTCTTGAGAACTGCGTCGCTTTCTTCATTCACTTTTAAAATGCAGGACTCATTTGAGTGAAACCAGCAAAGGCCATATTTATTCTAACCAGTCATTTCTGTCGCTTTGTTGGGTTTCTAGTTCTCCACATACTTCCCTGGCTACTTTGATGGACAGTACTGGCTGTGGTGGGTGTTCCTGGTGTTGGGTAAGTAGCAAACCTCTGAATTTAAATGAATCACATGGCCTTTTCCTGATTGTGATTCATTTCAGCACTTCGGAGTTCAGTCGAATCAGTGTTGAGGTGTCATATGCTGTGTATATGTTACAGAATAATTAGAAAGGGATGGTTAATCTTATTTACTATGTTCCTATAGGCTAGATAGGATTTTTGTTTGAGTTTATTATTACTGTGACACAATCTGTTCTCAATAGTCTCCTTGATGATATTCTCAGGGATTTTTAACATGAAAACACAGTGCTCTCCTAAATACCATGCAGCTTTCATAATCAATATTTTTATATTCATAGTAGAGTGATTAAAAGCATGTCAGCAACATGATCTATGCAGAAAGGAGAGTTTGAGAGTTTTGTCACCCGTATTAAAAACATGATATTAAACTGGCAGCCATTTCTGATCTCACACATTCATGTATCTAGTTTGTGTACCACTTATAACCATCTCCCCTGTCCCAGAGTTTGTGTATTAACTCATCTTAAATTTTTAAAATCAAATCAGCCAGATGTAGCTCTGTGTGTTCTGTAAGTGCAGCTTTATCTGTCGATGTTGTTACATTCAATCTCAGTTTGTATTGGACCCAGTCAGAGAAGTTGTCACATTTATCAGCACTGCCTCGTCCTAATATGGAATTGCAGCACTGTTGTTTACTGTGTTATCTGGCTAGCTTTAAGGTCTCTTAGGGTTTCTTCTCTTTTTCCTCTTCAGGCTTCTTGCTTTTCCTCCGAGGATTCATCAACTATGCCAGAATCCGCAAAATGGCCGACACCTTCTCCACCCTGCCCCGCACCCGAGTCCTCTTCATCTACTGAGCCCACAAACCACCAGTCTCCTTCATTAATTTTTCTCTCTCTTTTTTTTTTTTTTTCAGTGAGCCATACTGTCTGACGTTATCCAATCAGAAAGGGGGAAAAAAAAAACAAACCCAAAAGCATTTTTTCTCCCCCCTCTGTTTGACATGATTTGGACAATACGACGTCTGTTGTCCCCCTCTTGGTGTAAAACAGTGAATGCTGAGAAATCTGTAAAACCCTTCAGTTATTAGTGGTGAACTGTCAAGTGCTATTTGCAATTATGAAGTGTGTAATGTATAAATTAATGCCTTATTTACTATTTTATTCTGTGGGTAGCAGCAGCATGCACTGTTCTCCTATTTAGCCACCAGGGGGCAGTCTTGTTTGTGTTATTTTTCACAAGTCTTCTATCCGATGAAGTCATTTGTATAGAAAAAAGTGGTTCTCAGCCCAGGGATCAGTGGGTAATTTTGGGGTTATGGGTTGATTTACACAATGTGAGATAATATATTTCCAGTACCAATTTAATGTGCTTTTAACCCTTCTGACCAATGCTTTGTGTTCCTTGTGAAACAGTACAAAATTCAGGTAATAGAAGGCTGTAAAGGGAAAATGATTAGCTTTTCGTGGGTTGTATAGAAGATCAGGGGCCAGGTTTCCCCTCAAAGCATTTTTCCTCATGTATTTATGAATTGCCCATATGCTCTCTTGTAATTAGGAATGCTGTTTCCTTATGTGCTATAGGTGTATATCAGCTGCAGGGATGTTAAGGGAAGTCAGGAGCAGAGCTTCTGGGGCAGGCTGAGGGTCACTGCCTTGCTCAAGGACAAGTAGATAGTCTGTCACTGGAATTAAATGTGCAATTGGACACTTCTGGTCAAATATACGATTCCCTATTTCTGTCACTGGCACCCAATTGGTGTCCACTGAGAGGAAAGAAATACCAGATGTGATTGCAGACCCTGCCCTGTGAAGAGCAAGGGGTGTATTCATTCAGACAAGACTTCTTTTTTTTCTTTGACATAACAATGAAATATTCAAGATAAATCTTTTTTAGTTTACCCTCATTCTAGTGGAAATGGAATGATTGTTTTTTTTTCTATTGCAAGAATTTTAAGTATCTGGCTTGGAAACTGTTTGGAATTAAACTTGAGAAGCACATTGTGATGTTTTGAGCTGTTTATCAAAAGATAGCGACATATGTAGTATAACATAATATAGTTACCACTTCTTCTTTGCTGGCTCAGTACTTGCAACTTGAAATCTCAGTGCTTTATCTTACAGGCCTGTACATCGGAGAGCTGTTTGAAGATCGGTATGTTGATATTAACTAGGAGTGGGAGCGATTTGGCAAAGCAGGATTTTATGGAACATTTTCGTTTTCATGCGAACATTTGAATCCAGTCAGTACAGAGTGATTTAAAATTGAAGGGATTATGTTCAGTAAGTGGATAAGACTCCATATTCCATCATATTGGACAGAAAGTTTGTCAAAGATTTCGATCGAGTTCCGTTTGAACTCCTGATGATCTCACTGGACTTGCATAAATATCTGCCCTTGTTGTAAAGCAGTGCAAAATTCACAAGCGTGGCTTCAGAGAGGTTAAGATCTAACGGTCTCCAGCCACAGAGAGAGGAAGCCATGCTTACCATGATGTTCAGTTCCTGACATGAGGCGTACTTTTAGCCGTGCTAAATTTAACAGACGAGACGTGTGTGTGTGTGTGTGTGTGTATGCACAGGAATCGAGATGATTTACTGCTGGTGGCTAATTATACATGTCAGTGGTGTTTTTCCTTGCAGTTGAACTGGAAGTGAAGGTCACCCCACCTGGAAGACATGTCACGCCAACTGAAACAGTCTTTGGTTTCACTGGAAACTTTAAGTGTCACACAGTGTCACATCATCTCTGAGGCCTCCCCCCACCATGACTGGATATTGGCCTCCAGCAGGGCCCAGTTGGCGTGACATTGGCTCCATTTAGATCTCTCTTCCACAGGTCACAGTATGAAAATGCCACTTTCAATCCACTAAAAATCTTGATTTTACTGCATGTTATTAATCTATTTCCATCAGAGCAGAACATAAAAGTAAAGTAAACCACATTTTAGTGTACTTTAAAAGTCTAAAGTTGTGCGTAGTCTTCGGGTAGGTAGCATTAACTCTAAACTGATGTCACATGATTGATGCTTTTTAAAGAAGTAGTTATTAAATGATTAGAAATTCGATAACCCCAGTTTTTAATCTGACACACTTCTTGTAACCGTAGATTTACCCTGTTGCGTACTTCTGAGTTGCTCCACCACTCGTGCTTTCTGAAAATCGGATTTCCTGAAGTAATTTCTTCTTTTGCAGTGTGTACTTTGTTAAAATAGAAACAGCTGTCGTTCAGAAATTACAGATGTTCTGTAGCTCCGTGCTGAAACTGCCTCGGCTTTAGGAAACTCAGTTCTTGGGTATTTTCTGACATGCATTTCTTAGTTTTAGCACAGCGCAAATAGCCCGTAGGAGAGGGGGGGAAAAGACCAAAGGGGCAAAGGTCATACACCAGACCTTCAACACCGGTCCAGTGAATCACCACGTCACCAGATGACCTTGGATAAACAAACCTCACTTTGCCAGGTGCAGATGGTTGAACTGTTGACAGTGTTTCAGCTGTAAATCCTCGCAAAGCACATGAACAACAACAACAAAAAAAAAGTCCCTATCATCCGCCTCCCATACAGATTCTGCCTCGGTCCGCTCGAATCCCTCTGTAACGTCATTCCTCCTCTGCTCCAGCAGGGTCACCCAGTGCAGGTGTTCTTGTTATCCAGATGTCATTCATAAAGTAACTCCATTGTGCCAAGACCTGTCTGTGTCTTGTCAGCTGCCCTCGATTTACAGAGACGGAAGTATTTCTTGGAGTAATTGATGGGAATTATGTGTGCTAGCCAAGTGCCTGCACTGCTTGCATGTTTTAGCTATCAAAAGATAAGAGGAGTCTTTATGATTTACAGAAAGCGTGGGAGTGAGCCATTTTTCCAAAGAGACATGCTTTACTTTTCTGGCTTCTGTTAGGTAGACTTTTTTTTTTTTTTTTTTTGCAAATACAGGTTTAAGGTACAATACAAAAAGCCACTTGGCTGGAAACAATGGGTAGAGAGGGATTTTAGAACAGCTTTTGCACCTTTCAATATGTTAAGGGTCTGTGATATTTCAACAGGTAAGTAAATACTGAACAGTTAGTTAGTTGACCTTGGCATAAAGACAAGAAAGAGCTAACCTGGCGATGTGCAAAGGTAACTAAACCATCTAGTAAGCACCTCTAAAGTTCACTTAATTTGCACAAAAAACAATGTGCAAAACCAATTTTGCTGTTTCGGGAGGATTTATGTTTGAGACTATTCATCGGCTGCAACTAGTTGCCAGACAACCAGCCCAGACTCCAGGAACTTACTGGTTGCAACCAGGAAACAAAAATAATATTTAACCCCATATAAAATATATATTTTTTGTATTTGCACTTTTTGTGTGTCTTCATCTAATGAGCTATAACGTGTTAATTTGTGAGGTTTAAGGGTGCTGGAAGGAGGATTTTGTTGCTATTAAACTAAGCAAGACTAGCTGTTTCATTCCGTTTCCCACCTTTATGCTAAGCTAAAGCTAACTGGTTTCAGCTCAAGTTCTTATCTCACTTGGAACAAGAATGGTGAGTAAAAAAAGTTTTCGAAAATATTGTGTGATCTCATATTGTGTGAGATTACTAAAGTTATCAATTGTGAATCTGTAACTTCTTCATAGCTAAAGCTGTAATGATTAACTAGTTAGTTGTCAAACATTATATTTATCGGCAGCTGTTTTGAAAACTAATCAATTAGTCTGAGTAATTTTTAAATGCAGAAAAAAGAAAAGTAAATTCCTCAGATTGTAGCTTCCTAAATGTGAATATTTTCTGGTTTAATTACTCCTCTGTGGCAGTAAACTGAATATTTTTTGATTGTGGAATGAACAAGATGTGTGAGGACATCAGTGTAGGCTTTTGCCAACGCTAATCAACGATGTATAGGCTGAATAACTATTCGATTAATTATGAAAATTATGGACAAACTAATCAACAATGAAAATAAGTCAACTGCAGCCCTACTACAATATGAAGATTGAAATAGGCCTTGCCACATATGTTTACATAAAATTAGAGGCACAAATTTCTCTATTCAAATCAATACTTAATAGGAACATGTGTTACTAGCAAATGCATGGTGAATATTGTGCCTCTGTGTGTGCTGCGATTGCTTTACTGCAAACTTGGATAAATTCAAAAATTTTAAAAAAATTATATCTTTGGTTCATTTGCAGTGTGGACACAGAAACCCAACATACAGAGTTAAAACAAATCACAGACATAGTTCTCATTAGTAGGAGCGCAGAGGACACAACACAGAAGAAAACGCACATATTACACAGTAATATGCAGCACGAACTTGTAATGCTGATTGAAGTTCTAGAGGGCACTGTTCAGTAAAAATGGAGCTGAAGACTAAAAGACCAAAAGAAAAATCACTTGTAACATGTTTATCCATCTTGGCTGAAGATGAAGATCCACTCTGTGAACAAGAAGAGGGGATCTTTGCGTTGTGATCTTTAGTCTGAGAAATACTTGAACAAAAAAACATAATCAGAGGGCCTCTGATCGTGCCCACCCAGCTCCCACTTTGTACCAAAATTGATCTCAACCAAAATAAGTTGACATTAACAGATGGGCACCTTTCAGTGACAAAGACCCATGAGGCCAGGACGGTGATGCTCCTGCAAACTTTTAACATTTTAGCTAAGTCCTTATTTATTTAAAGTCCGCCAGAGAATTCCCATCACCTTAGACAAACTGCAGTCAGCCGGAGCCTCCCGCTGTCAGTCTGAGTTTCAGATGGGAGGTTCCCAGGATGTGGGGAGGATGTGGGTTGCATCCAAATGATATGTCCTTCTTCTTGTGTCTGTGATTGGGGCAGGGGGAGGAGTGTTATCATTGAAGTGTGAGTCATCCTGACCCTCCCCTCCTCTCCCTGCACTTCATGTGGCATATGTGTGCACGCCAAAAGTGTGCGTCGACGTGCACGCGTGAGCGAGGTGCGTTTATGTTGAGTGGAGGTGTGAGTGCTTCTAATACTGTGAAAAAGGCCGTGTGTGCATGCATGATGTGCTATTACGTGTTTGCGTGTCATGGCAAATGGCGGGAGCATCCCTGCGTGTTGTGCGTGTATGCGTGTGCGGCTGGTAAAGCTGTGGTGAGTCATCCACAGGCCAGCGTTGCCTGTTACCATGGGTCACACACAGCAGGTACCCCACCTCCCCGTGTGTGTGTGTGTGTGTTTTTTAACCTACCTTTCTTCCTTATCCTCTTCTTCCTCCACCTCCTCCTCCATCTCCTCCTCTTCTTTTTCCTCTCTGACTCACAGATGACTCCCCACCACCACCAATGACATCACCACCCCCTCCTAACACTTTGTTGTAGTGAATCATACTGTACATTGAGATTCTCTCTGCTGCTCTCTTCAGCCAACCGGAAGGGTAAACCTAAATGTCACTTGTTCATTCATAAAACCAGACTCAATCCGCCGAAGCATTTGTCTCTGACGACCGAGACCGTAGATCGGTTACTTTACTGATGTCATTAATTATCTATATACAGCGACATTATCAAAAGATCTTCTGATTATGTTCAGGAAACAATGCTCAATTTCAGCCCTATGTGCAAACAGACTATTCCTCTTTACCACATTTGAAATGATGCTGTTCTTGTTTAAACAGCGTCTTGTGCCTGTATTACTGCAATAAATCCTCAGAATTTTTGCAGGATTGTTCAGTCTCAGAGGAATTTATATGTTTTTACTCAATCAGACTCACACAAGTTTACAGTGTAGATGCAATCTGTATGTCTCACTGCGGTAAAGATACACTTCATGATGAAATTAGCTTCTCAGTTGAGTTACTCGAAGCCTTTCTATATGTTCATAGTGATTAAATACTAGTTCATGTATTAGTTATGTTGTGTTTCATTACAAATTCTTATGTTATAAATTAACACTATGGGGACATTCGTCATGGCTGCTGTGATTTTGACCCTTGGTGATCAGTTATAGTATAGTTTACAGGAAATGTAACATTATTCTTCTGTTGCATTC